GAATAATATAAGGATTAGAAATAGGAATAGTGTTAACGTCTTTATTAAAAATTTGCTTGAAATAATCCACACTAGAATTAATAATATCCTCCTCATTATCAAGAGTATCACCATTATCATTAACAAATTTAAAAATATGATTTCTCATATTTTTCTTTTTAGCTAAAGCATGAAAAAACTTGGTATTTCTATCCCCTTCAGCAATCATTTTAGAAGCAGCCTTTAGTTTCCAATAAACCTCTTCTTGATCTTGCAAAAGACCAAACTTAATTTTAGCATTATTAAGAGCAGCCATATTCTCAAGTTTCGAAATTTCCATATAAGTTTTTTCACACTCCATCACCTCTCTTTCAGCTTCTTTAATATTGGAAAAAATATTTTTAAAAACATTTTATTTCACCACCTTAACACTTGTTTTAATCTAGTAAGCTTGGCCCAAAGCCTGGACATACCTAGGATGTCATGTCATTGTTAGGAGCTAAAGGAGAATTCCAATTATTACACACAATATCACTAAAATTCTTATGAGATAACCACATATTTTGAAACTTAAAGCAGAAGGATGCTGAGGCTTAATAGAATCAATAATCAAAAGTAAGGGATCATGGTCAGACAAGGTTCTACTTAAACGTTCAACATGAGTCATAGGAAAATTAATCAACCAATCATTATTAAATAAAATCTTATCCAATCTTTTCCATAAGTTAGCTCTACTCCAAGTAAATGCATTACCAAAAAAACCAATATCATGTAAATTGCAATCACTAATCATAGAATTGAAATTCTCCATGGAAAGAACATTTGGAGACTTACCCCCTCTTCTCTCATTAGCATTGCAAATGGTATTGAAATCCCCACCAACACACCACAGTCTAGTAGAGGCATCAGCAAAAGACGTCAGTTGCTCCCAAAGAGTTAAACGACCGACTCTAGTAGAAGAAGCATAAACAAAAGAAGCATTACAATTGAAGTTAAAATAAACAATGTTGACATTCACCACTTGATGGAAATCCTCTAAAATAGATAAGTTCACAGCATTTTTCCAGAAAATCCAGATTTTATTGGAACAATTAGCAAAAAATAAGGAAAACCCCAAACGAGAAGCGGTACAATCAATTTTCTCCCTAGAAATTAAAGGTTCAAGTAAAATCAAACTTGAATATTATGAATTCTACACATATTTTTAACTCTAGTAACCGAATCAACCCCCCGAATTCCTCTAATGTTCCAAATGAGAGCATTAACCATTAGAAATTTTTAAAGACGTTTTAGTTCTAGTTGAGCAAGGCGACTGAGGTAACGATATTTTAATTTTGCACTAAGAGGTAGATTTTGTTCTAATAGAGCTATTTGGAGGTAAGAGAGAAATTTGTGCAATTAGTTTTGTGTCCGCTTCTTTCATCCAACTCATATTCAAATCTATTTCCTCCTCCATCAAACGTCTTTGCCCGGCGTGCATTTTCTTTGTCTAGCATTCGTTCTCACCAATCGCGCCTGTTACACTGGCAATCACCACCACATCAAGTAATTATTCTCATGGTTTTCAATCGCTGGCCTTAATTCGTCTTCGAATGTTGAATGCCCACTGTCTAGGGTTAATAAACATTTCTTATTTTTTCTTTTCATTATCTAGGGTTCTTGAGGTTGAGGTCGACTGTATACTTGCCTCTCGCAAAATGCTGACTGTTTCTACGATGCTAAAAGGTAAATGTTCTGTTGATCTTGAAGCTCATCATGACATTGATCTTGAAGTTCATTTTCTTGTTCGAAGTTGGTCTGATTTTAGTTCATCGGGATCTATGCATTTTGTAATGAATTGATTATGTATAAATATGAAGATTTAAGTAAAACCTCTATTATATTTAAGGTGAAAAATTCTTGTAATATTAGATTTATGAAATAAATTTTTTATTTCATGAAAAATATCTTATATAAGATCACATATGTATGTGAGTTTTTTTAGAAATTTGATTGGAGATTAATTATTTACAATTGAAAGATTATGAGTCATCATAATTAATTGATAATTGAATGTAATTTATATTGGATATAACATATATTGAGGCACATAATAATGTATTTTATTAAAATTTATTTCATTAAATGTAAGTGTTAGGAAATCCTATATTTTAGGGAAACTTAAATATGTCTTATTATTAAACATGTTCCAATTAAATAAATGTTTTAGGAAATCTTACATATTATGACATATAATATTTATCATATTTATTCACAAATTTCTTCATATGAAGGTATTCGGAAAGCTTGTCTTTTATGACACTTTATAGGTGACATTAAAGAGACTATGCCATCAAAAATATATGTCATGAAAGTTAAATTTTTAGGGCACATAAAGATGCCCTAAACCCTATGCCAATGGCCACCTAACTGACACAATTTTTTTGATGTCCCAATACATCATGTGCCCTTATATATGCATATTATGGCATTTTAAGGTGCCCTAATAGCCATTATTTTTTTATAGTGAGTGGAGGTATCTTTTATAATGATGCTTAACTTATATTTATTTAATATAAATTCATTAAATATAATATATATATTTTTGTAATAACCTCATCACTTTCACAATGCTAGAATTTATATCCAAACTCATCTCCACCATATCCAATGAAGTAATACTTCTTAGATTTTAGGTAAAGTTTATCTTTGGTAATCTCGTATGTAACATCTATTAAAGAAAAATAGATGTATTTTAATTTTATTTGTAAATCAAATAGTATTATTTTCACATAGGTCCTCTATCAATGAAAAATTTGGCAGTCTCCTAGCGTCTTCCCTGTTTAGGGGAAATATAAAAAGTCTTAGCCTGCTCACCACACGTCAAGAAAGACATGTACGATTGGTGTTAGGTGACATTGCGGCCGTGGTCTTCAATTCTATACCATGCCAAGAAATGTGTGTATAGATAGGTGTTCAATTGGGTGCTTGTATGAATATGTATTACTGCTGGTTTTAATTTGCACTGAAGATATTACCAACAGATTTGCTAATTCTCTTGACGTGTGAAAACATAGTTTGCTTGAAAATACCATCTAAGAAAAATCTCTTGTTCTCTCTAATCTTATCTTCCATATCTCTAAAATTTTCACATATATGCTCATTTTGTATCTAGTCTCTAAGAGTAAAGCTAGCCACTCATGACCATTCTAATCTCTACAAACCATCTAAGGAAAATCTATCGCTCTTTGTGATGTTATCTTCCTTTAAGAGCTCTCCAATATTTTCATTAAGAGCTCTCCAATATTTTCACGTATATGCTCATTTCATATCTTATCTGTAAGAGTAAATTCCATAAGAGCATTCTAATCTCCGGCATTTTAATCTCAACTAATAATATACACATCTCTCACTCTCCCTCCCTTTAATCTCATTTCATAAGAGCATTCTAATGTCAATGAAAAATATACATACACATCAACTCCCTCCCTAGACTCATCAACAAGAAGAATATCATCAACAAAATGCATACACCATGGTACAATCTCTTGCAAATGCCTGCCGAGAACATCCATGACAAAAGGAAAAAGCTTGCCGTGCATTTCTGGCAAATAAGGTGGAGAACGTCATCAACGGTGGTGGCAAACTTCGGCAAGGACGGCGACAAACGTGTGCAAGGTTCGCAACGAACGTTGACAACGAACCGGTCTCGATGGCAGCGGTGTTCAACGCAAGCATAGTGCTAGCTAGGGGCAAAATAAAAGGCTCATGTTAAATGCCCTCATCTTACTAAATCTTCCTACAAATCCCTTCGATTCTATGATGTATCTGAAAGAGAAGTGGAGTATGACTGTATCCGCATTCTCCATCTTCTCCTCTTTTGCTTGGCCTTTTCTGTCTCGTTTCTATAATTGCCACTTTCAATCATCATTATTAATTTGTTTGAAAGAAGACAAAAGATTTCAACTACTGAGGCGTACTTACAAAGTTAATTGTATTTTTTTTTTTTTTTTTACAAAGTTAATTGTAATGACTGTTTAACAAATCAAATGATTCTTCTACCCATATCCAAAGCAGTAAGCTCCATATCAGAAAAAATCTCTCTGCAACTGGTAAATATTACACTTTCTAATAATCTTCACAAAGATGTTAATTTAATATCCATTATATACCGACAACTTCCATATATTTGAATCAAAAGTACACAAACATCAAAGCCCCACAATTTGCCAAAAGCTGGAAAATCTCAACATCAGCATGTATTTTATTTTTAAAAATTATCAATGTAATTAATAATGTTCGCAGCATTTTTTTTCTCATTATTTTTTTTAATTGTGTGACTAAAAATTTTAATCAATTTCTTAAAAGAGAGCTAAACTTGAAAATTATTTTTAATAAAAAATATTTTTAGTCTTCCAAATAATCAAACTTACTAAACAATTTGTTACTAAAAGCAAAATAATTGGCTTAAACATAAATTTAATTACACTTAAAAGAAAATTAATTATGATTAAACTATAATATTTAGCTTTAAATTACTTAAAAGGTAATTTTGCGCTATAAGCAAAAATTGCTAAATATTCCTAATAGAAATTCTATGGGAAAGGCTTCAAAAAGTATCATTTGGATTATTGTTTTCCACTGAAATTTATATAAGTGCAAAAACAAATCTGGACTGAAGATTGAGAAATATTTTCATATAAAAAATATAAGTGAATTTATTCATTTTAAGAAATAATTTTCTTGTAGATAGAGACTTTTTTATGTTAATTTCTTTTTATTTAACTTTAAGCCTTATTTGTGCTATAGATTTCATCACAACATAAAGCTAAAAATTCAGTTAAAAAAAAAAAAAAACTAATGCCATTTTTCTAATAAAACCACATAAATTTCGATCAAAAAACTCATGATGGAAATTTTTTACCCACGCCCATATAAAACTGCTATAGACAAAACATCTTTGGCAGCCAAATACCAAAAACTCTTTTTTTAATATGATATATGCAGCAGCCCCTCTTGCAGCATTTTTTATGCATTAAATAAAAAGAAAACCATTCTCTCTCTCTCTCTCTCTCTCTCTCTCTCTCTCTCTCTCTTTCTCTCTGAGATATGTGTGGGAACAAGTATTCCCCACTAAGAACATAGAGAAACATTCCTTGCAGCATCTAGCAAGGTTCATTAATAGAACTGCTCCTGTATTGCCGAGATCAAACACAACAACCAAAAGACCCTTGCATGGATGCTCAATGGACTACGCAGGTAACTAACTAGAAACTCAAAGATCTGATTTTTATATCATGTTCTATCTTTTGGCCTCAATTTACTCCATCAAATTTAAATCTTTCAACCTTTTGTAGGGTTTCAAGGCATGAAAATTTATTCTTTAGATCTATAGATGGTAGAAGGAAGGAAGGATTCGTTTTAACTTTACCAATCTCTTGATGACCAGTTTCATCCGCCTTTCCTCTCCCTCTCTCTCTCTCTCTCTCTCCTTTTTCATTTACCTTTAAACCTGCTCCCCAATCAAGGCCTTCAATCCTTTAAAGCAGTTCACTTTTCTTTTCCATTAGCTTTTTTCCTCCTTTCTCTTCCATCTCATCTTTTAAGCTTTTTTCCTAAAAAGCAAGAAGTGGCATGAAAAGGGTAGTATATAGCTAGTCTTGTTCTTTTGATGTGCAAAGTTAAAGAGTAAAGACATACATCTCTTTCATCTTTATCCTTCTTTTCCTTTAAATATGTTGTACATGTACTTTAATATCATCAGGGAATAGGAGTTGTGAAGGAAGTAGAGATCAGCAACACAAGGCAGCCACAACTCCAAGCTGAGAAGAGAGTGAGGCCTTACAAAGAGCAATCATTAAATTGTCCAAGGTGCAATTCAACAAACACAAAGTTCTGCTATTACAACAATTACAGCCTCAGCCAGCCAAGGTATTTCTGCAAAACTTGTAGGAGGTATTGGACTGAGGGTGGATCCTTAAGAAATGTGCCAGTTGGTGGCGGCTCAAGGAAGAATAAGAGATCTTCTTTAGCTAATAACTCTTCTTCAAACCCTACTACAATGACAACATCATTGGTTTCTTTGACTTCGCCAAATCTACAGCCTACTGAGCCCATTCCCACTGTTCAAATCCCTATTGCAAGCTCCAAATTTTACCAAGGATCAGGTCAAGACCTGAACCTCTCTTTTCAGAACCAAAGTTTGGCTCATCATGATCAGCTTGGTGCTGCTTCTGGTTCTATCTCAGCTATGGAGCTGCTGAGGAGTGGAATCTCTGCAAAAGGATTCGCACCTTTTCCCGCTGCACCAGGATCAGTTTTTGGATCTGGGTTTGGGTTTCAGGAGCTCATGAGGCAATCTAATTTGAAGCTTCCATTGGATCATCATGGTCGGTTTAGTGGAAGCATGCATCAAATGCAGGAGGGAGGAGGTGGTAGATTACTGTTTCCTTTTGAAGATTTGAAGCAAGTTCATGTGAATAATGGAGGACATGAAGAAGAGGATAATGGAGTTGTGCAAGAACAAGGGGATCCTGGTTTGTTTTGGAATGGAGCGAATGGACGTGGAGGAGGAACATGGTAATTAGAGATGAGCTCGCCAGTACAAAATAATTATGTGGTAAGTTGAAGATTGACAATGAAATATGATGAGATCGAACATGTTTGCTTTTGTTTTGTTGTACTATTCTATATGATAATGTTTGGTTTGTGTTTGAAGTTTGATGCTCAGAAATGGAGCAGGTTTGATAAGGGTCCATGAGATTTAAGTCAGATCTTCCATTAGTTATCTCCTCCATTTCTTTTTGAGCAATCCTTTGGGCTTGATGAAGCTTCTTAGAGGTAGGCTTCAGTAGAAAATTTGTTAATTATCCGGGTGGGATATGACACAGGAGGCTTAGAATGTCCACTGTGTTTGCTTTTCTTTTCTTTCTTCCTACAGGTAGTAGGAATTGCATTTTGGCCTGAATTGTGTCGTTTCCAATGAATCACTACTCATGCATTATATGTATACAAATGTTATATATGTGTATTTCTGACTTTTCTCATAATTTCTGCAATTTGCTATCAGTCTGACATTAATGCTCAAATACTCTTTTACCACAATCCCATATATATAGTGGCAATAAAGTTAGTGTGGAAATACTTCTACCACCTTATAATCAACATATTTTCATCACTACATATGTACAATATGTCATAAATAAATATGATATTGGCTTATCATCTTACTTTATCACATACAACATTCACTTCTCATATATTTATTATTTAACCTATTTTTGAGGAATGCATACATACTCAACTATAAGATCAACATATATTTTTGACACCCAAATTCAAATGACAATAATTATAAGAGCAACAAGATATGCAAGAATTAATTTGATAGGTCACCATCACATCTTTATATAATGTATTCAATAGAAATGTGGTTAAAAATATGTTGATTTACATGACCTAGCTAGAGAGCATTTTTCAAAGTTAATGGTAGTGGATTTGATGTATTTGTAATTTTTTATATTATATTAAGAAATTAAAAATCATCATCATCTAAATTATTTTTATCTTTCTTCAAAAATCTTTATTTTTTGTTTGTTCACTCAATGTCATTTGAGATTTAACTTGTTCTAGTCCCTTAAAAGATTCTAGAAATGGCCTATTAATTTATTTAATTCCCATTTCTTCACAATTCCTTGATTTAATGAATGAATTTTCATTATTGGAATGTTTTCTACTATTTATTATAGATTTTCAAATCATCTACATTTATTTCTTATTTTCTTAATCTTCAGCAAGATAAGCAGACTATAAATAATAACATTTTTGTTTCTTCAATTCATAGAGAAATCTCAGCAATCTTTTTAGTACATTGATTATACATTTATGATCAGTTTTGCTTGTTTACTTTCTTTTGATTCATCTTGAACTATATACATCAGCACATAGAAGTCAGGTCTAACTTTACAGCCATCAAAGCTAGGTGGTGTGAGTTGAAACAGACAGGCTTAAAGGCCTACAACTCTTTTAACATTCTCTTTTAAGTTACATGACTCCTACCATTTGAAACTTTTTCATTAGTACTAACAGATGTCAAATGTTTTTATTTATATATGACAAGATACATCTCACCTTCATCATTACACTTCCCTTCCATTTAGTTGGCTTTTATTTATGGAAAATTAAGTTTGATTCAGGCTTCGTTTAGGAAAATTTTTTACTGCTTTCTAAAATAGTTTTTCCGTACAAATTTTTTTAAAACTAGAAATTTTTGTACTAAAAAATCTTCTTAAAAAGCATTAAGAAAGCTACCCAAACGAAGCCTTAGTATGTTTATGTTAAATTTATTTATTTATTTATTTTTTGGGCCATTTAGGGATCGAAAGGGAGCCGGTGGGAGGCATCGCTTGCGCTCAACCACTGAACTGCCCCGCACATCCCAAATAAGTGCTAAAGTCATAAAATGATTTAGAATGAAGGACATTTATTTATGCAGTGAGATTTTTTTATATATATTTTGCAAGATAATATATTTATTTCATCGAAAATAACTAAGTAAAATATTAGCTTGTGGAACATTATGCGATAATTACTTCTCTTTTATTTACTGAAGCAAGAACATGATGAAGCAAGATAAAGGAAGCTTGGTTTACCTGCTTCGAACTAATAAAAGCAAACGAATTATTAATTCCTGCTGGCGTCCAATCCTCAAATGCCATAATATTAAAAAAGAGATAGACAGACCACCACTGTCAATGCTTAATTCTCTCCTTAAATAATAAAGGAGAGGCAGCAAACATTCTCATAGGGATGAGAGCCAAAGAATAATGCTACTAGTTTCATATACTATAAAATATGGTTGATAAGACAGCCCTTCTTTGCTATATTTAATAGTGACTAATGCTACTACACTACCTTATAGATGTGACGACGTGTTTAGCATGTGCGCTACAGAAGAGCAGAATGGACAATATGGAACAAAATTAAAACGGGACAAACATGATATGTTACATTTTGTTTGGTAGATCTTTGGGTTGGCGGAGATGATACACCCTACTGTTAGAGAAATGAAAAATGAAGAGAGATGTTGATGGAAGCAGGAGAATAGATTTTCTCTTACATTTTAATAATACATGATCCCTATTTATACTAATGATTACAAATAGTTCTAGATTTCTCTATATATTCTAGAAACATCTATTTTTAATAAATCATTTACTACAAAAGATAAGCATCCTAGAACATTCTATATTAATATTTAATGGTGGAATAATCTAGATAAAGGAATATTCTAGAATAAGCAGGAATACTCTACAATCAGAAGCATATGAAATTAATAATTTCTAATACTCATCCTTGATGCTCATTTCCGTGACTCCAAGCTTATCATGAAGTTGTTGAAATTTATCTCTGGGTAGAGCCATAGTGAAGAAAGATGTATGCCATTTGTTCTTCAGATTTGCAGTATATCAACTTTATATCTCCTTTAGCTTCTACTTCTCGTAGGTAGTGATATTTTATAGCAATAAGTTTTCTTCTATTGTGAAATATAGGATTCTTAGCCATAGCAATAGCAGAATTGTTGTCACAATAAATCACTATAGGAAGTTTTTGTTTTGATCCCATATATTCAAGTATTTTGTAAAGCCAAATTGCTTGATTTGTAGCACCTGCAGCAGCAACATATTCTTCTTCTGGAGTGGACTGGGCAACTTAACTTTGCTTCTTAGAACCCCAAGAAAATACACCAGAACCCAAGGTAAACCAATAGCATGATGTGTTTTTCATATCATCCTGAGAACCAGCCCAATCACTGTCTGTAAACCCAACTAAGGATAATTGAGTACTTGGTTTATACTATATACCAAAATCCTTCGTGCGTTGAATGTACTTAATACTCTTTTAGCAGCACTAAAATGAATTTGAGTTGGCTTTTGCATGAATCTTAGAAGAAGGCTGGTAGCAAACATGATGTCAGGATGAATAGCAGCTAGGTAAAGTAAACTCCCAATTAAGATTCTATAGGTAGTTGCATCAACCTCTTTAGTACCATCTTCTTTTATCAATTTCTTATTTGTAATTAAAGTAGTGTATGCAGATTTGCATTCATTCATTTTGAATTTAATTAATAGATTAGTAGCATACTTTTTCTTTGAAATGAAGATACCTCTATCTTGATGTACTTCCATACCAATAAAGTAATGCATGTGCCCCATGTTTCACTCATCTCAAAGGTCTTCATCATCTCAGATTTGAACGAGTTGATCATCCTCAAACTATTCCCATTAATGATTAAGTTGTTCACATAGAGAGAGACAATGAGAAGATTACCTCCTTTTATTTTCACATAGAGTGTTGGTTCACTTATACTCATGATGAATCCATGGTTGCAAAAATAGTTATCAATTTTGTTGTACCATGACTTAGGCACTTGTTTGAGCCCATAAAGAGCCTTTTTAAGTTTATAAACTTTCTTTTCTTCTTTTATGAATCCTTTAGGTTGCTAAGCATATACATCTTCCTCGAGTTCTCCATTTAAAAAGGCTGACTTTACATCCAAATGTGAGATCTTCCAATTTTTTTGAGTTGCAAGAGCGACTACAGTCCTGAAGTGTCAAGTCTAGCAAGAGGAGCATAAGTTTCATTGTAGTCTATTCTTATATGCTGAGAGTATCCCTTGGCAACAAGTCTTGCCTTACATTTGTTTAAAGATCCATCTAGGTTAAGTTTTGTCTTGTATATCCACTTAACGCTAATTATATCCTTATTCTTAGGATAAGGCACTAGCTCCCAAGTGTTATTCTTTTCAATTATCTTGATCTCCTCCTTCATAGCATCCATCCAAATAGGCTCTTTTGAGGCAGCATTATGACTTTCAGGTTCTACTAATTTGAAGTTACAAGATTAAGCCCAGCACCTTCTTGGAGTAGAACCTGGTGATCGAAGAAGTGGAAGAAATTTCACCTTCATAAGTGTTGTTGTAGTCCTCATTATTGATTGAGGTAGATGATGTCGGTATCAGCCCGAGGTCATTAGTTGGTAATACAGTGTCAGCTGTGGCTTGTTATGTAGTGTCGTCAATAGATGGTACTTGAAGAAATAGCTTGGGATCTTCTGTGTTTTCCCATTTCTAGATAGTATCCTCATTAAATTTTGCATCCATGCTAGTAACTAGCTGTTGTGTTTTGAGATTAAAGATTTTGTATCCTTTGGATTGAGAGTTGTACCCAAGAAAGTTCCTTTCTCAAAATTTTCTTTAAGATTTTCCTTTTTTGTTTAGGAAATAATGGTCAACCATGTTGAGTTTATCCTTGGGAAAGATAAAAAATGAGTCACACCCTAGAGTCTAATTTAAATGAATTCTTTCTTTTATCTTTTAATAATGACAATAACCTACATAGTTTTCTATTCCAAAAATTATATATAATATCTAGGAGTCATATAAATACAACACCTGTCTTTCTGCTCTTGAGTGCAAAAGAATATATAAATAAGATAATAAAAAAAAAAACTTGGAGAATCCTATAACTTATCAGTCTCAAACTCTCGATCCTCTTTCCAGAGTTGAAATCATTTAAAATACATATTATGAGTTAAAAAACCAAACAAGTCACTAAATCCTACAATTGAACTCAAAGCATTATAAAGAAACAGTATGCATCTCGTTAGTCCATGAATTTGTGCAAAAATAGTAAATCATATACAGTATTAGTAAAATTATTAAAGCAATGGAACAATATAATACGGAGGCCAATAAAATAGTACATAACATAAATAGTGAAATTTATAAATCAGTAAACCAATAAATTTGTACATATGTCAAATCATAAAGCTGTTGTCGTAGCAATACTATCAAATTAATAAAAAAAAAAAGTTAAATAAATTAATAGAACTAAAATATCTATAAAGACTATCAAAATCTATAAAAATATAGTACACATAATATTCAATTATTTTATATCAGTATCAATTAATGTCTTATATCATGTGCTCAATAACAATGAATCAATCGTAGTAATATGCTAACAATAATAATGAATCAATAGTAGTA